CCAGCAAAGGCTCCTGGGAAGGCCAGGGTGGGCCCCGGGGCGCCCCTGCTCCTGCTGACAGCACTCACCAGCCTTGGCGGTGCCCGGGAGCCAGCAGCACCCGGGAAACAGCCCTGTCCGCCCAGAAGGGGTGAGGATGGGCAGGAAAAGGAGCTGGACGGCTCCTCCTGAAGTAGCCAGGTGGGCGGTTGCACCTGTGTTCTTAGGTAAGGAGGGCGTGGACAGGAAGTAAGCCCCGTGCAGACGGCATGGGCGGCCCTTGGAAAGCAGCCACCTTAGCACAGCCCACCTGCCCCAGGTAGTCCGCCCCCCACACCCCCCCCAACCCCAGGCCTGAGGTCCAGGGGTTTGGGGGGGGGGGGAGTTTGATGATGAGTCAAGCATTCAACTTGGGTGCCAGCTTTTAACGTGGCCTTGACCGACATTCTAATTGTTCAAGGAGTGAGTGCATGAGTATATTCTGGCTGGAAAGGTTCAGACGAAAGCAAGTATTGAGTTAGAAGGAACTGTCCCTCTCCCCGTTCCTGCCCCTCCACCCAGAGAAACGTCGTGGGTGTGGGCTGTGGCCTGCAGGCCGCCTCCGGCGTGTTTGGATGGAGCGTTGGGTACACGTTCCTCTCTGCCTTCGGGTTTTGACTTGAGTCTATCCTAGAGGTCTTTCCGTCCGGCCCACGTGGACCTGCATCGGGTCTCTGTTTGTCGCTAAGTGATGTGGATACGTTGTAGCTGCTCCCCAGCTGCAGGGCATGCGGTTGCTTCCGGTCCTTCCCTGTGACGACAGGGCCGTGTGACCAGAGGCCAGTGTTTCTTAGAAGTGTGATCACTAGGTCAGCGGTTGCATTCACCTTATCTCTTGGTTGTGTCTCTTTGTAGCACCCATTTTCTGCAGTAAGCACACGGAACTTTCATAGCTTCGAGCAGAGGAATACTTGTGGTTAATGTTTGCTTCTCTCTTAGAGGAGATTAATGGGATCTCTGACAAAAATCTCTCCATCGAAACAGGCCGCGGTAGCAGGCGGTTGGACGTGCTCGCGATACTGTGTTGAGGAAGTTCAGTGTCTCTTGCTAACACTACTTACTAGTCTACCCGCAGAACGCACTGGGCACCCGCTCACCAGCACATACACTCCACACACACACACACACACACACACACTCACACA